TTATTATCTGTTTATGTGAAAATGTATGAAAAAATGATAAGACATGAGGTGGTACTAAATCCATTTTTTGTTTGAAAAACAAGACTCTTGATTAACATATTTTGAGAATTAAAATTTGTGGATCAAACAGGGCAATGCTTTGAAAACATTACAATAAACGTGAACTGATTAAAGGAAAATCTTCTTACTGAAATCTGCTTTAGTACTTTTATTAGTACTACTTGTGAATAACTAATTGTAAAACAGACAGAAAATTGCGTAATACAGAATGTTTAAGTCTTTGAATAAAATAAAATCTGATGGCTTTAGGGATTTGTTTTATGGAAGAAAAATTCGGACGGTACTACAGTTTTTGTTGTACTTTTTGATTCTTGTAGATCGCTCTTGATTTATTTCTAAGCTTATGATGTTTATGTGATACTGTGGAAAGATAATAAAACATGAGGTAGTACCACAACCAGTTTTTCTGAAAAACGAGAATCTTGATTTACATATTTTGAAAATTCAGATTTCTGGATCAAACAGGGCAATGTTACGAAAAAAAAAAACAACATACGTAAACTGAATAAGAGAAAATATTCTTAATTATAATTAATTATAAAACAGATGAAAAAATTGCGAAACAGAATTTTTAAATTTTCCACGAAAGTAAGATATGATGGCTTCAAATATTCGTTTTATGGAAGCAAAGTACCGACGGTACTGCTGTATGTGTTGTACTTTTTTATCCTTGTGGGTCAATTTTTGATTTATTTCTAAACTTATGATCTGTTTACGTGAAATACTGTGAAAAGATTATTAAACATGAAGTAGTACCAAAACCATTTTTTCTGAACAATGAGAATTTTGATTCACAAATTTTGAGAAATGAGATTTCTGAATCAAACGGGCCAATGTTTTAAAAAAATACAACATAAGTAAACTGATTAAGAGAAAATGTTCGTAATGAATTCTGCTTCAGTACTTTTATTAGTACTACTTGTAAAAGATCTGACAGCTGTAGGTCTTTGTTATATGGAAGAAAAGTAGCGACGGTACTACTCTTTTGTTGTACATTTTGATTCTTATGGGTCGCTTTCGATTTATTTGTAAACTCATGATCTGTTTATATGAAAAAATGTTGAAAGATGATGAATCATGGGGTAGTACCATGTTTTCTGAAAAGTGAGACTCTTGATTCACATATTTTAAGAATGAAGGATCAAACAGGGCAATGTTTTGAAAAAATTGCAATATACGTAAACTTAATAAAGAGAAAATATTCCTGCTGAATTCTGCTTCAGTACTTTTATTAGTACTATATGTGAATAATTAATTATAAAACAGACGAAAAAATTGCAAAACAATGTTTAAATTTTCGATGAAAGTAAGATGTGATGGCTTTAGGTGTTCGTTTTGTGGAAGAAAAGTACCCATGGTACTACTGTTTTTGTTGTGCATTTTGATTCTTATGAGCCGATTTTTGATTTATTTCTAAACTTATGATCCGTTTATTTGAAAAAGTATGGAAAGATTATGGCATGAGGTAGTACCAGAACCATTTTTTCTGAAAAAATGAGACTTTTGATGAACATATTTTAAGAATTAAAATTTCTGGATCAAGCATAGCAATGTTTTGAAAAAAGTGCAACATGCGTAACCTGGTTAAAAGAAAACGTTCTTACTGAATTCTGCTTGAGTACTTTTATTAGTACTACATGAGAATAATTAATTACAAAAAAGTCGAAACCCGGATTTTTAAATTTTTTATCAAAATAAGACCTTATGGCTTTAGGTGTTGGTTTTATTGAAGAAAAATACCGACAGTACTGCCATTTTTGTTGTACTTTTTGGTTCTTAAGGGTAGATTTTTGATTTATTTCTCAACTTATGATCTCTTTACGTGAAATATTGTGAAAAGATTATGAAACATGAGGTAGTATTACAACCATTTTCTTCTCAAAAATGAGACTCATATTTCAAATTTTTTGAGAATCAAAATTTCTAGGGCAAACAGTGCAACGTTTTGAAAAAAAATACAACATACGTAAAATGGTCTTATTGAATTCTGCTTCAGTACTTTTACTAGTACCACATGTGAATAATTATAAAACTGACAAAAAAATTGCGAAACCCAGAATTTTTAAGTTTTCAATGAAAACAACATGTGATGGCTTTGGGTGTTCGTTTTATGGAAGAAAAGTACCGACAGTACTACTGTTTTATTGTACTTTTTGACCCATGGATCAAGTTTTGATTTATTTTGTAAGCATATGGTCTATTTATGTGAAGAAGTGTGAAAAAATTATGACATGAGATAGTACCGGTACCATTTTTTCTGAAAGAAATGAGACTCTTGGCTCACATATTTTGAGAATTAAGATTTCTGGATGAAACAAGTCAATGTTTTGAAAAAAATATAACATGTGTAAAAAAAATTGAAAATGTTACTGAATTCTGCTTCCGTACTTTTATTGTACTGTTATTAGTACTACTTGCAAATAATTATTTATAGAACAGACCGATAAATTCCTAAGATTTTTTAAGTTTGTGACGAAAATAAAATCTGATGGCTTTAGGTGTCTGTTTTATGGAAGAAAAGTACCGTGAGTACTACTTTTTTTGTTGTAATTCTTGATCAATTTTTAATTTATTTCTAAACTTATGATCTGTTTATGTGAAGAAGTGTGAAAAAATTATGAAATATAAGGCAGTACTGAAACATTTTTTTTTTTAAATGGGTCTCTCTTGAAAATTGAAATTTCTGGCTCAAAGAGGGTCATGTTTTGAAAAATAATACAACATACGTAAACTTATTAAGAGACAATGTTCCTATTGAATTGTGCTTCAGTACTTTTATTAGTACTACATGTGAATGAAATTATAAAACAGACGGAAACATTGCGAAACAGAATTTTTAAATTTTTGACGAAAATAACATCTGATGGCTTTAAGTGTTTATTATATGGAAGAAAAGTACTGCCGGTACTGCTGTTTTTGTTGTTCTTTTTGATTCCTATAAGCACTTTTTGATTCATTTCTAAACTCATGATTTATTTATGTGAAAAACTAAAGGTTTTTCTGAAAAACGAGATTCTTGATTCACATTTTCTGAGAATTCAGTTCTCTGGAACACAGCAATGTCTCGAAAAGAAAAAACAACATACGTAAATTGATCAAGAGAAAATATTCTTACTGAATTCTGCTTCAGTACTTTTTTTAGTACTAAATGTGAATAATTAATTATAAAACAGGCGAAAAAATTGCGAAACAGAATTTTTAAGTTTTAGATGAAAATAAGATGTGATGGCTTGGGGTATTCGTTTTATGGAAGAAAAGTACCGACAGTACTACTTTTTTTGTTGTAATTTTTGATCAATTTTTAATTTATTTCTAAACTTATGATCTGTGTATGTGAAGAAGTGTGAAAAAATTATGACATGAGATAGTACCGGAACCATTCTTTCTGAAAAAATGAGACTTGATTAACGTATTTTAAGACTTTTAATTTCTGGATCAAGCACAGCAATATTTTGAAAAAAAAATACAACATGTGTGACCTGATTAATTAATATAAAAAGTTCGTATTGAATTCTACTTCAGTACTTTTAAGAGTACTATTTGTGAATAGTTATTTATAAAACAGACAGAAAAATTGTGTAATACTGAATTTTTAAGTTTTTGACGAAAATAAAATCTGATGGCTTTGGATGTCTATTTTATGGTAGAAAAGTACCGTCACTACTTCCCGTTTTTGTGTGGTTTTTGATTCTTATGGGTCGCTTTTTGATTTATGTCTAAACTCATGATCTGTTTATGTGAAAAAGTGTGAAAAAATTATGAAATATAAGGTAGTACCACAACATTTTTTTCTGAAGGTGGATCTCTTGATTCGCATATTTTGAAAATTAAAATTTCTGGATAAAACACAGAAATGTTTTGAAAAAATTACAACATAATTAAATAAACTGATTAAGAGAAAATGTTCTTATTAAACTCTGCTTCAATACTTTTATTAGTACTACATGAGAATAATTAATTATTAAACAGACGAGAACATTGCGAAATACGTATTTTTTAAATTTTGTATCAAAATAAGATCTGATGGCTTTAGGTGTTTATTGTATTGAAGAAAGATACTGACGGTACTTCAGTTTTTCTTGTACTTTTTGATTCTTATGGATCGATTTTTAATTTATTTTTCAACTTATGATCTGTTCATGTGAAAAAGTCTGAAAAGATGATGAAACATGGGGTAGTAGCAGAACCATTTTTTCTGAATAATAAGACTCTTGTCTCACATATTTTGTGAATTAAAATTCCTGGATCAAACAGAGCAACGTTTTAAAAAAAATACAACATACATAAATTGATGAAAAGATACTTCTTATTGAATTTACTTCCACTGCATTAGTTCTACTTCATGTCTACACAAAATCCACGTACGTTTTTAGTTACAATAAACCTGATTTGATTAGTTCGTTTTCCTTTTCATTTCCTACCATACTCCAGTGCGAAAACCGGCGTTTGTCACTCAACCCGACACAACTTCTTTCAAAAATCCTCATCTCACCACATGTGAAAACCTGTCCCACTTATCGACTTATTCATGATTTATTATCCTCCCCCGTCAGCTTCCATTCACTCCCCAGCAACCCCATTTATTTCTCCACATCTCTATCTCCTCTCCAACTTTATTAAATAACAAAATCGACAATCACAGTCCCACACATCGCTAAACCATCCATAAAACACGCAGTCACGAAAGCCATCCGACCTAGTTCTCCATTTGCCATTTCGATTAAATCCCGTTAAAGAACAATAGAACATCTGCAATACCAATGATTACGGCCACCTCGCCCAAAAGGAGTCAACAAACTCGCTCATTAAGATCGCAACGCGATTACGTAATGAGCGTCTTTCCAGATGGACGAACGTCGCGTGTTTCTGTCATTACGGACACTGGTTATGTATTCAGGATTTGAAAAAAATTAATTTAGTAATCAGGGGCGTCCGATCGCTGCTGCGACTGTTGAAGACAGTCGAAGAGCGACAGTGCGGGCTGAAACGCGCGACGCGGACGCGCGAGTGTTGCTGAAATGGGGGGCTTGAGATGATGTGACATGTTTTACTCTCAAAATTAGGTAAGCGCTTTTTCGAGTCGAAAACTAACACTGAAATAACAAAACGTAATTTTTGAAATTAAACACGATTTTGCAAGTGCCCCCACAAAAAAAATCAATAGGCGCCAAATCAGGAGATTTCGCTGGCCAAGGAATTGCACTCCCTCATTGTGACATTTAAATTTAAATAATCCCTGATAATAAGAATGTTGTTTCTCTTTTCTTGTCATCCTAAAAATTTGTACTGTTTCAATATCATAGGTGCTACAAAATAAATAAAAAGCTGATTAAGAGAGTAAAATTTTCACAATTTTTGTTTTTACATGAAAAATCCCTATGTACAAAAAAAAAGATTTTACATTCTGTATACATTACGTAACTACCCCGCGCCCCACAAATTTATAATTAATTATGAAAGTGTAAACTTAAAAATTCGGAATTATTACAACTTTTTGAAGTTAAGAACTTGGAATTATTTGTGACCTATTTATTCATCCTATCATCGACTTCATTATTATTCATCGATGTTTTAAAATGCCATGCTTATTAATCAAAATTTATTTGTTTACTCACTCCTAAAAAATTGATGACCTCATTTCAAAATTTTATACAATAAATCATGTCTACAATAAGTTTTTTTTAAGTTTAGTTTCAAAAGTATTCCGGGAAGGGTCTTACCGAGGTTATTTGGGTTAAACTGTAACTGTAAATTAATCTCTAAATTTTAAAAAACACCCCTAGAATGCTAACGCAGCGAGTACGTTCAGGTCTTCCCACATTTTAATATTCAAAATTGTTTTTAAGATTCTCTTCTTTACAGACGATAAATCGATTTTTTTGTTAATAATTTAGCTTCTCAGGGACACCAATGAATATTTTTTAAATTACACCTGAACGTGCTCGCTGCGCTCGCATTCTAATCGTTGTTTTTTGCAGTTTAGTCTCATATTCATAGTCATATTCTAGATATCGAGATTAAAAAAAAGTCAAAACTGTAGATTTTCTCAATTTTTCGAATTTCAATTTTATCGAGTTTTCGACTTCTCGATTTTTCAACTTTCGATTTCTCAGTTTTTCTATTTTTCAGTTTTTTTTCTTCAATTTTTCGATATTTCAGTGTTGAAATGTTTCAATTTTTTGATTCTTTAATTTCTCGATCTTCAAATTTTCGACTTCTAGATTCTTCAATTTTTCAATTTTTGGCGTTTCTAAATTTTTGATTTTTCAATTCCCAACTTCTCGATCTCCCGATTTTTTAGTTTTTCTATTCTTTAATTTTCCCATTTTTCGACTTTCCGATTTTTGGATTTTTCCATGTTTTTGTTTAGGGATTTTTCAATTTTTATATTTTTCAATATTTCATTTTGACGTTTCTAAATTTTCGATTTTTCGATTTCTCAATTTCACAGTGAATTGACTTTTTGGTTTTTCAGCTTTTCGATTTCCCAACTTCTCAATCTCCCGATTTTTCAGTTTTTCAATTCTTTAATTTTTCCATTTTTCGACTTTCCGATTTCTCGATTTTTCAGTTTTTCGATGTTTCAATTTTTAATTCTTCAGTTTTTCCTTGATTTTACAATTTCTCGATTTCCAAATTTTCCATTTCTCGATTTTCAATTTTTCCATAATTCAGCTTTTCAAGATTTCAATGTTGAAATTTTTCAAATTTTCGATTCTTTAATTTCTCGATCATCAAACTTTTGATTTCTCGATTTGATTTTTACGATTTTCCTAATCATACATTCTTCATTTTTTCGATTTTTCAAATTTTCAATTTTCTACATTTCTAAATTTTCGATTTTTCGGTTTCCCAACTTCTCGGTATCCCGATTTTTCAGTTTTTCTATTCTTTAATTGTTCCATTTTTCGACTTACCGATTTCTAGATTATTCGATGTTTCAGTTTAAGGATTTTTCCATTTTTTGATTCTTCAATTTTTCGATTTTAATTTTTCGATTTTTTAATTTTTCAATTTTTGACGTTTCTAAATTTTTGATTTATCAATTTCATTGTTAATTGACTTTTTGGTTTTTTGGCTTTTCAATTTCCCAACTTCTTGATCTCCCGATTTTTCATATTTTCAATTCTTTAATTGTTCTATTTTTCGAGTTTCCGATTTCTCGATTTTTCAGTTTTTCGATGTCTCAGTTTTGGGAATTTTCAATTTTTCAATTCTTCAATTTTTCCTCGATATTTCAATTTCTCGATTTTCAATTTTTTCAAAATTCAGTTTTTCACGATTTCAGTGTTGAAATTTTTCACTTTTTCGATTCTTTAGTGTTCCAATCTTCAAATTTTCAACTTCTCGATTTTTTCATTGATCGATTTCTCAATTTCCCGATGTTTCAGTTTTACCATTTTCCAATTTATCGATTCTTTTAAGTTTTCGAATTTTCAATTTTTGATGTTTCTAAATTTTCGATTTTTCAATTTCTCGATTAATCGACTTTTTGGTTTTTCGATTTTTCGATTTCCCAACTTTTCGATCTCCCGATTTTTCAGTTTTTCAATTCTTCAATTTTTCCATTTTCCGACTTTCCAGTTTCTCGATTTTTCAATTTTTTAATGAGTCAGTGTTGAGATTTTTCAGTTTTTCAATTGTTTAATTTCTCGATCTTCAATTTTTCGATTTCTCGATTCGTCAATTTTTGATTTTTCGATTTTTCAATTTTTGGAGTTTCTAAATTCTCGATTAATAGACTTTTTGGTTTTTCGGCTTTCCGATTTCTCGAGTTTTCAATTTTTCGATGTTTCAATTTTGGGGATTTTCGATTTTTCCATTCTTCAATTTTTCCCCGATTTTTAAATTTTTCGTTTTTTTAATTTCTCGCTTTTCAATTTTTCGATTCTTTAATTTTTCGATGTTCAAATTTTTGATTTCTCAATTTCCCGATGTTTCAATTTTATGATTTTCCAATTTATCGATGTTTCACATTTTCGAATTTTCAATTTTTCAATTACTGACGTTTCTGAATTTTCAATTTTTCGATTCCTCAATTTCTCGATTAATTGAGTTTTTGGTTTTTCGACTTTTCGATTTCCCAACTCTCGACTTCCCGGTGTTGTAGTTTTTCAATTCATCATTTTTTCCATTTTTCTCGATTTTTCACTTTTTCAGTTTCAGTTTTGGGATTTTCCAATTTTTCGATTCTTCAATTTTTCCTCGATTTTTCAATTTTTCGATTTCTCAGTTTCCCGATTTTCAATTTTTCGAATTTTCGTTTTTCAAATTTTTGATTTCCCGACATTTTCATTTTTTTTTTCTCAATTTCCCGATGTTTCGGTTTAACAATTTTCCAATTTATCGATACTTCAGTTTTTCGATTTTTCATTTTCTCGATTAATTGACTTTTTGGTTTTTCAGCTATTCAATTTCCCAACTTCTCAATCCCTCGATTTTTCATTTTTTCAATTTTTCCATTTTCCGACTTTCCGATTTCTCGATTTTTCAATTTTTCGAGTCTTCAATTTTTCATCGGTTTTTTCAATTTATCGATTTCTCGGTTTCAATTTTTCGATTCTTTAATTTCTCGATCTTCAAATTTTTGATTTCTCATTTTTTTTCATTTTTCGATTTCTCAATTTCCCGACATTTCACTTTTACCATTTTCCGATTCATCGATCCTTCATTTTTTTGATTTTTGAATTTTTTAATTTTTGACATTTCTAAATTTTCGATTTTTCAATTTCTTATTTCCTCGATTAATCGACTTTTTGGTTTTTCGACTTTTCGATTTCACAACTTCTCGATCTCCCGATTTTTCAGCTTTTCAATTCTTCAATTTTTCCAATTTTCGACTTTCCGATTTCTCGATTTTTCAATTTTTCGCTTCTTTAATTTCTAGATCTTCAAATTTGATTTTTTCATTTTTCGACTTCCCGAGTTCCCGATGTTTCAATTCTTCGATTTTTCATTTTTTCAATTTTTGACTTCTAAATTTTCGATTTTTCAATTTCTCGATTGATCGGCTTTTTGGTTTTCGGCTTTTCGATTTCCCAACTTTTCAATAGTTTTACGATTTTCCGATTCATCGATTCTTCATTTCTTCGAGTTTTCAATTTTTGACTTCTAAATTTTCGATTTTTCAATTTTTGACACTTCTAAATTTTCGATTTTTCAATTTCTCGAATAATCGACTTTTGGTTCTTCGATTTTTGGATTTTCCAACTTCTCAATCTTCCGATTTTTCAATTTTTCAATTCTTCAGTTTTTCCAATTTTCGACTTTCCGATTTCTCGATTTTTTTCATTTTTCAATGTTTCGGTTTTGTGATTCATTTTTTCGATTTTTCATTTTCCCGGTTATCAATTTTTTGATTATTCAACATTTCAGTGGTGGAAATTTTCAATGTTTGGATTCCGATTTTCAAATTTTGGATTTCTCGTTTTTTTCATTTTTCCATTTTTCAATTTCCCAATTTATCGATTCTTCAATTTTCGATTTTCGACTTATCAATTCTTTAATTTTCCGATATTCAAATTTCAACTTCTCGATTTTTTCGTTGACCGATTTCTCAATTTCCCGATGTACCAGTTTTACCATTTTCCAATTTATCGATTCTTCAATTTTTCGATTTTTCAATTTTTCAATTTTTGACATTTCTAAATTTTCGATTTTTCAATATCTCGTTTCCTCGATTAATTGACGTTTTGGTTTTTCTACTTTGGATTTCCTAAGTTCTCGATTTCCCGATTTTTCAATTTTTCCATTTTTCTAGTTTCACGTTTCTCAATTTTTCAAATTTTCGAAGTTTCAGTTTTGGTATTTTTCAATTTTTCAACTCTTTAATTTTTCTTCGATTTTTCAATTTTTCGGTTCTTTAATTTATCGATCTTCAAATTTTCAACTTCTCGTTTTTTTCATTCTTTGATTTCTCAATTTCCCAATGTTTCAGTTTTACGATTTTACGATTCATCGATTCTTCATTTTTTAGATTTTTCAATTTTTCAATTTTTGACATTTTTAAATTTTTCGATGTTTCACTTTTGGGGTTTTTCAGTCTTTCGGTTCTTCAATTTAT